TGGATCCTTCAGATTTTTTTGTTTATTTGTTTGTTTTTGGTACTGGGGATTGAACTTAGGACCTTGCACTTTCGAGATAGGCAGTGGCACCACTGAGCTAAATCCCCGGCCTGGACCCTTCAGATCTTGAGGAAACTGCTGGGCTCTTTAGGAAAAGGAGCTAGGAAAGAGCTTCCTAGTCAGTGACACCCTGAGGGTTCCACAACTTGCTTATGCCTAAATCCAAGCCAAAGAGGTTATAGCCAGCTGGTGTGCTAAGGTTGTACCACTGTGTTACTGAATGCCTCAGTAGCATCTTAGGCCAGTGCTATCCATACTTTGGAGTTTTCTTTTCATTAACTAAAGCTTCTGGCCCAAGGATCAGTCTTTGGGTTGAATTAATTCTGAGACTAGAGCCTTTGGGAGGCTTTGGTGCTGGACTCCCACACCCTCCCCGCACACACCAACCGGACGTTCCCATGTTCATGGAATGATGCTGAGCTGCATAGGGCCCCAGGCACTGGGTCACAGCATTTGAGACAGGCCACAGAGTATGATTCTCCTCATCAGGAAACTCATTGCTTCAGGGAGTGCAAAACCAGATGTTTAGAAAATAGCATCAAAGTCAGATGCCCTCACACACACTCCTAGAAAAGTTCTTTCAGAGACATCTGGCTTCAAAGCTAGCTTCTGGCCCAGGCGATAGAGCCAGAGGAGTTGAGGGTGAGGGCTTGGAGGGGTTCTGTTTAGAACTGCAGGGACCGTTCTCCACTCCTAGGGGAAAGTGAGGAACAGGGTGGGGCCAGTTCCATTGACTTGGAACACTGTGCCACAAATTCCAGAAAATTAAATACATTTCACTTTAGAAGAAGACCTACCTGATGTCGATCCTTGTGCACTCCTGTGATTAAACTTGAAATGTTTGAGAACAGTAGGTTGGGAGTCAGCAGATCAATGTGAGATGAGTACTGATCCAGCAGCCTGCAATCGGCTTCAGGGCCTTGGACAAGTGACATTTAAGTCCAAAGAGTTTAGTTGCACATTTCTAAGAGCTACTTTCTAATAATGTCCCAAATCAGCTTTTAAGAAGTTTAATTTTTGCCAACTAAAATTAGTCCACTGCTAGAATTATCAAGAAGTCTGATTCAGCACTTCCCTGCAGCTAGCTGCCAGGCTCCTAGACTGCACCCTGAGGCCAAGCGATAGACAGCTTGGCACTACACAAGTGATTGTTGTTTTCCGGTAAAAAATCAAAGCTCTATTGTTTATTCATCAGCAGGGATATCTTGATCCTGTCACAGTTTTCCAGTGCTTATGTTCTTGCTACTATTTAAAAATAATTATTGGTGTAAATTCATCTTTTTAGGTTTTTTTGTGACCTTGGGCTAACCATTAGTAGTACGATGCTTTTTTATTTGGGCCTAGAATTACAATGACTGAATTGATGACATTGTGCTTTGTGGCCCCAGTGTAAATCATCCATACCACTGTTGCTAGTGTAGGCGAATCCATAATAACCACTGCCCCAGAGAAGTTCACATCTCAAGAGTACCACCTCTTTGGTAGCATGGAGTTCTTTTCCCTTGTGGATCAGGGTAGTAGGCTGTGGAATCTGAGCACTGTCTAAATGGACTCTGACCAAAACAGTTTGCTTCCAGTGTAAGAAGTGATTTCATGGCAGGGTGCAGTTCTATTGGCATGCAATTCTTAGAATTCATAAACTATGTAGTTAAGAGCTATAGTTTTTATTGAATGTAAATTTTACTTCAATTTAAAAATAAGTTAATTTAAACAAGGATAGAAGGCCAGAGGAAGCAAAGACCAGGATCTCATGACAGTGATTTGTTTTCGTGGGACTAGAGATAAGAATTAAGAATAGAGAAGAAATCCAGCCAAGAATCATAACCTTGAGGTGATAACAAGGAAACAGCGGACAAAATCTGGGGGAGAGATGCTCTGTTAACAAGAAGCAGGGTGTTGGACTCTGAAAAACTGGTAGTGTCATAGAAAAAATACAAGGAAAGGCTATGGAAATAGTCTTGATGATGCAAATAGTCCAGATTAAAATACTGCATTCTTTACTGGAGGGGAGTAATGCTATATTTATATATCATGAGGTCAAATGAAAAATGATAGTAGATTTGATAAAAGTGTTATTAATGTAGATGTATGAGATGGGTAATTCTACTATGGTTACATTAAGATAACATGGGCCAGGGATTTAGCTCAGTGGTTCCGCCTCCTGCCTTGCATGCACAAGGTCCCGAGTTCTATCCCTAGTAGCCCCCCCCCAAAAAAAGACAACATTTCTTCTCTTAGGAAATATATTCAGAAATATATGTATGTATATGCAAAGAATTTCCTTATTACTTGTCTTAGGAAGAAAAAAAGTACAGGCTTAGTTCTCATTTGGGACTTTTTGACAAAACAAGTTTAGCTGTTGTGTTTTTCCAACATCTCTACCTCCATACAAGAAACGTTTGATCTGGACACTGTCTCTCAATCAGTAACCCCTGAAAGCCACATCCTACCATAGTTGGAGGGGATGAGGCAGCTGAAGGAGTTTCAAGGACTTTGCAGTTGCTGTGGTTTGGATAAGTGTCCCCAGTGACCCATAAGTTAAAGGTTTGGTTTCCAGGTTGGTGCTATCAAGAGTGATAGAACCCTTAGCAGGTGGGGCCCAGTGGGAGGTATTCAGGTTATTGGGATGCATCCTTCAAGGCTTGCATCCTTGAAGGGGATATCAGAATCCCAGCCACTTCCTCATTCTGTCTTGCTCTCTGGCTGATGACATGAGCAAGTTTGCGCTGCTATGCATTCCCACCATGGTGCCTGCCTTGCCACAGGCCAAAAATAGTGAGGCCAATGGATTTTGAAAGGAATTTCCCAAACTGAGGCAAAATCAACCTTCTCTTTCAAGTATTTTGTTATAGTGATGGAAATCTGACTAATGCAATAATATAAACTGGGGTCAGCACAGAGCTGTGTCAGCATCCTGGTGACTATGATCTCCATGACAATCATATTGCCTTAATAGTCACAAATGGGTAGTTCTTGAGCAATTAAAAGCTAGATTGTTTATATTACATACTTAGGAGGATATAAGAAAATTTCCTTATTGCTTACCCTGGAGAGAAATGGAAAAAAAAAACTCCACAAGTCGACAAGTCCAGTAGGCAGTTTAACTAGTGTTTTTTCAACATCTGTACCTCTGAACAAGCCAATCATTATCTGTCTTTTGATGAGTAACTCCTGAAAGCCATATTATATCCACAGCTGATTCATGAAAACCTTGACTCCTATTCAGGTCAGTGTTGGCTGGTGATGAAAGCAGCCCAGACAAAGTTTATGCAGTAGGATAATGACCTTGAATCTGTCTAATGGCAAAACTTCCCTGGGTGACATCATGGATTTGGGAAAAGAAGGGCTGTCTAATGGCCTCTTGGTGGGCTTTTTGGTATATCTGATCTTGCTCGGAGGAGACTTGTGCCCCAGTGTGACTTTCATTCCTGCTCACCTTCTATGGGACGCACTGTGGAAGAAGAATGGAAATGTCAAGGCTCAGTTTCCCGTCTGCGCTGTGGTTGACCAACTATGGTTGGCAGTGTTCCTTCCTTTCCCTCCAGAGAGATGGAAACACAGGAGGAATTGGTTCAAGCACACTTCCTAGGCATATTCAATCCCCTCACTCTCACTTCACCCACTTCTGGGAAGAGTTAAAGTGCAGGCCCCCTTTTACTCTCAAATCTCCGGTTGGGACTGTGGAGTCATGAAGCTGAATGTTTGATCCTAACTTTTCATCGATGGGATATTTGGGAGACTTGAAAGTCCAACTAATGCAATGAAAGGCTACTGCTGCCTGTTTGCAGAGTGTGTGATACCAAGTTGGGACACTGTATGCAGCAAATTAAGCCCAGGTGGCAAAACAGCCATGTGATCACAGACATATTTTATTCTGTTTCTTTCCCAGTCATGTTATGGTAGTTCTTTGAGAAGGGAGTGCTGAAAGAGTCACTTTTTGTGCACTGGGACTGGGAGGTCTTTCTGGCCAGGAGTTAAAGCTGTGCTAATGGCTCAAAGCAGAGGAGAAGAGAAGCCTCAGGGGCAGCAAGAAAGAGGTCTGACTAAGTGGGAGACAAAGCCTCTGCTGGCTACAAGAAGCTGTCAGCATAAACTATAATCTGTCGGCCCAGACTCCAAGGTCAGAAAGGAGACAGCAGCCCTGGGCCCCTGTACTTTGAAGGGCCAATGGCTTCAGTGCTACCCTACGGCTGTTTTAGGGTGCAGCCTAACCAGGGCTGGAGTGAGTCAAGGAGAACATGCCCAGTCTTCTAGTCACTGCATCCAATTCACACCAGCCACTTTGCTCTCAGTAATCATCATCTGTCCATCAGTTACTGAGCCCCTACAGTATCTTAATAACCACACTGAACACTTAGCATGTGTAACCTCATTTATACTCATGGCAGCCTGTCCCTTTTTTAAAGATAAGGAAATAGGTTTTGAAAGTGCTGACCTGACAGGGTCAAAAAGTTATAAGTAATGGAGGTAGGACAGCCCCAAATCTCATACATTTTTGCCACAGAGTATAAGTAGGCATACATATGTGTATGCACACAAACACACACACACACACACATACACACAGAGTATGTTAGATTTTCCAGCTTCTTCAAGAAAAAGTTTGGTGTGGCTTGTGTAAATAGCCCTAGGCATTCTGCAATCACTTCTGCTTAAAAAGATGAAGTGATAGTTGACCAGAAAGCTCTGGGAATCCTAAGGGAGCTTGGGCCTCATTACCTGGCTAATATTATCTCTAACATGGCTGTGTAGATTAGTAGAGGCTTCTTTGGGGGCTTCAAAATCCTAGTAGGAGCTGCCAAAAAGGTCAGAAGTTTTGACAAAAACCAGTGGGCCGTGACTGGGTACTGTCACTGGGCTGGGATGGCTGCAGTGGCAGGAAATGGTCAATCTTTTACTCTCCTGGCTCACTTGCTATTTTCTCCCCTCTGCCTTCACAGCCAATCTAGGTTTGAAATCCAGAGCAGTTGCCTTTGGCGAGCAGCCAGTGTACCAGGGACCGGTGCACTGCATTGTAACCATCGTGCGGACTGAGGGCCTGGCTGGTCTGTACCGGGGGGCCAGTGCCATGCTGCTGAGAGACATCCCAGGCTATTGCCTCTACTTTATCCCCTATGTGTTCCTGAGTGAGTGGATCACACCCGAGACCGACACAGGGCCCAGCCCTTGCACCATGTTGCTGGCAGGTGGTGTGGCAGGTAAGGGCGGAAGTGGCTGGAGCCCTATCCCTGGGAATCCATTGTGGCAGGACAGTGACAGAGCCTGCCATGCCCTTCTCAGCTCTCAGGGAGGCAGGACTCATGCAGCCACATGTGCACCAGTTCCTCCTTAAGTCCTCACTCTGTACCGGGCCCAGACAGGCAGAGGAAGAGCTACGGATGGGGGAATGGCCCCACATCCTCTCATCCCCTTCCCTTTAGGGCTATGGGATGCAGTCCCTATGTGGGTTTATGGCCCTTTCAGGCAACAGGTGCATTTTGAGCACCTACTCTGTGTCAGGCACTGGTGAGCTTGTGGGAGGAAATCTGTTCCATGTTTTGCATTTCTTGAATATTGGTACACTATGAACCTTTCCTTTTAAAATGTTTTATTAGTACATGTTTTATTAGTACATAATGATTGCATTTATTGTGGAGAGTTGGCACACATACATAACACATCTTAATTCTTTTTTTCTTTCATCCCCTACCCCTCCACTGCCTCCCTGCTCCTTCCAACTCTTGGTGCCCTTCCCACTGGCACAAGCTCTATTTTCATAGTTTCCCCTCAATTCTTTTTTTCCATTCTCTTTCCCTCCCCTTCTTCACCCTTTCTCTGTCTCTTGTTCCCCTATCCATTTGAATAAGATCCCCCTACTTCCTATTTGTCCATCGTCTATTTGACTCTTTATTTACATATAGATTGAGTTTCTCATTTAAGAGAAACCGTGCATAAGGTTGCACTACAAACAGTTCTAATATAAGGGTTTCATTAGGCCTGTAAGAGTGCAATCAATCTCCCCATTTTACATATGAGAAAACTCAGGTTCAGAGATACTAAGTAACCAGCCCGAGGTCCTGCGGCTAGTACAAACAGTGCAGCGGGGATTCTGAAGTCAGAAAGACCCAAGTTCAAACCCACGTGTGCTCATTTTGTGACCATGCTTTGTTGCCTAACCTCCTTATTCAGAATCCTGCACTTCATCCATATTTCATTTTGGGTCAAGGTCAACATCCCTGCAGTGGTTTTCCAGGCCCTCTCTGATTTGACTCTCTGTTACTCTCTCACTTCATGTCTGCTTCTCCCTTTGCTTCCTCTGCTCTAGCCATAATGTTCTCTTTGCTACAACTTGACCATGCCCTACTCTCTCCTCACCACAGGGCCTTTGTACTTGCTATCACACTCTTTGGATTTAATAATGTGGAGGTCATTGGGCATTTTGATGAGAGTCATTTCGGTGGAGAGAAGAGTGTTAAAAATCTGACTGAAGTGGGGTCAAGAGAGAATAGGTTGAAAGAAATTGGAGAACTCAAGTGTATAAAACACTTTTGGGGAGTTTTGTTGTGCTGTAATGAGAAATTGGGACTGGAGCTCTAGTCAGAGAAGTCTATGGAAGTCAAGAGAAGATTGCTTTACAACAAGGTGGATGTCACATGTGTGGTGCTGATGGGAAGGATCCAACAAAGAGAAGACAATCTTTAGTCCTCTCCATTCTCCTTCTAACCATCATCATTAGTAGTTATGCTTTAAAACTCATGCCAAACACAGCACAAAGTCCAGTCTCAGCCACCAAGCAATAGTGATCCCTTGTGCACTCATGCATCAAGAGGCCCCTCCCTTGCCTCCTCCCACTAGGAGTCCTGCAAACACTGACTTGCTCAGAGTACAGGTTCCCTCTGCTCTCTTTTCTACTGAGATCAGGTGCAAGTAGCTTGGCCAGCACATCAAATTTTATGATGCCCCTGATGAGGCTGAGGGACACAGAGGGCCCAGGGCAGCAGCTGAGAAAGTAGCCTGTTATCCTGGCAGATGGAGGAGAGGCTCCAGGTCCAGAGAGGTTCCCAGAGGGCTGTGGGCGGGAAGCTGGAGAGGCTGGAAGTCAGCAGAGCAAAGGGCCCAGGGCAAGTCACTTTCTCCTTTGGGAGTTGCAGGGCAGTGATTACAAAATCTAACAAACCATCTGTCCTGGACTTTGACAGTGATTTGTTTTTTCTCCCCACCCAAGCAAGTGTCAATTTCTGTGTTTGTACAATAAAGTGGCCTTGTTTTCCTAGTCTTTTAACGTCACAAAAGTGCTTAAACTGAGGTACCTACGCTTATCCAATGAGGATGACCCAGTGATATGTGGACCCAAGATTCTCTTCTACATATTTGGGCAATAGATTTAAAAAATAAAAATAAATAAAAAGCCAGTCTCTGATCATGTTTTGCTGATGCTTCTTGATGAGCAGCCTGTCTGCACATGTTTGTTTAGCTTCTCCATACTCAGAGAAAAGCCTGCCTCTGGGAGCTGCACAACCCCAGCAGGATGCCTCACCTCCAGCTCTCTCTTCCTGGGAAGGTGCTGAGCAGCTGTGGAGGCTGTGACTGTCTCACCAATAATGTCATCACGTGCCCAGCACTGGCTGAGGACTAGGCCACGCTTGAGGTTTCTCAGGCATCAAGTCATCGTTCCTCATAGCAGACTCGGGGAGAGAGGCCCTGTACTCCATTTTATAAATATTGGGCCCTAGGCTCAGAGGAGGTAGGAGACTCACTGAGTCCCCCAGTGAGTGCAAGGAAGGATGGGAAACAGACTCTGCACATCCTAACTCCAAGCTCTGTCCTCTTCCCTCGGCTGCGTAAGGAGTTCAGACAGACAGAAATCCTAGGGAGGCCAGGCCCTAACCTAACCTAAGCCCCACCCTAACACCTGTGCCTTTCTCTCTCTGCAGGAGCAATTTCCTGGGGGACAGCGACTCCTATGGATGTTGTGAAAAGCCGACTCCAAGCAGACGGGGTTTATTTAAACAAATACAAAGGTGTCCTGGACTGTATATCCCAGAGTTACCAGCAGGAAGGCCTTAAAGTAAGCTCTCAGCAGGCCTGTGGAGTTGCCTGGGGTGGTGGTTCAGATATCTGGGGACGTAACACTCTAAGGAAGGGGGCTGGGAGCCTGAGGTGCTGGCAGTTACCACAAGCAGGTGCCACACCATGCACTTCACCTGAGTGGTCTTGTCCAGTTCTCACCTCTCCCCACAGGAGGAGGTAGGGCTGGGAGGCTCAGAGAGACAGACAGAGGCTCACATAACTGGTGCTTGGTTGGGACAGGGTCAGGACTGACATCTGTGGTTGCTGCAGTTTGCTTCCTCATTAGCATAGGAGAGGCAGTCCTGTGCCCCTCCTCCAACTGACTGGGTCCAGAGCCACCTTGCGTCTTTCCTGCCCCTCAGTCAACTCTTCTCACTGGTTCCATGCCCCCTGAGTTGCCTTCTGCTTTCGCATCTCAACCAAGTCCAGGCCCCATCACCTCTGGACTCAGCCATGGAGGGAGCTCTGAGCTGGCTTTCCAGGCCTTGTCATTCTATTCTCCCCACTAAAGAGCTAAAGAGCTTAGCTTAAACACACTCTTTCCTCCAAATTATCCCAGAACAAAGACCAGAATCCCCTTTTCCATGTCCATAGTTATAAACAAATTCATCACCCTCCGGAGAAAACATCCTTCTTGTTTTTCCTCCATGGGACACCTTGTGGTCTTAGCATGGCTCTTAGAGTCAGTAGTCTTGGGTTCAAGGAGAGGACCAGCTATCTGTGAGCTGGGATAATCCAAGCAAGTGGATCTCTCCGGGCCTCAGTTTATCCAAGGATGCTCATTCCTACCATGAAGGACAGGGGTGTTTGTGAGTTAAATGAAATTAGACATAAAACGTGCAGTTTCATGGATGACCCATAGGAAGCATTTAGGAATGTTTGGTATTGGTGTTAGTGGTATCAGTATTACTTTCAGTAATGTCTGTGCTGGCACTGAGCCTGGACCTCTTCCCCCGGCTGCCTCCCCTGGAGCCCTGCAGATGACTCTCCTCGTCCTTCTAGACCCAGCACCCCTGTCTCCAGATGCCAGTCTGCCTCTCCTGTCCCCAAGTCTCGTTTCCTCACACCACTGTGGAGGACAGCACTCTCATACCTCCTCTTCTTATAGCAGTATCTTGGAGTCCCATTCTATGCCCTCCCTAACTTGAGGAAAGGTCTAGAATTCAGGATGACTCAGTGGAGGACAGCTAACATGCTGTGTGAAAAGGCAAGATCCAAACAACCCCAAAAGCTTGGTCCAAAGGCCCAATCTAAAGGACAGAACTACCAGAAGTCAATGTAATTTCCAGTCCTTAGTATTAAAAATCAGTTGTATATGTGGCCGGGGTTTTAGCTCAGTGGCACCACACCTGCCTCGAAAGCACAAGGTCCTGAGTTCCATCCCTGCTACCGGAAAAAAAAATCAGTTGCATATGTAGAGGATGGGCAATCTGATTTGACAAAGGTTCCTATAGAAAATTCCTGAAGGCTTCACCTTTCATTATTAATTTGACAAATGCCTATTTTTAGAACACCTGGTGTGTGCCCAGTGTAGTTCTAGGAGCTGGAGATAGAGCAGTAAAAAAAGAAACAAAGCCTGGGTTCTGATAGAGCTCACTATCGGTGAGCATTAACAGAAGTACAGTGAGTAGGGTAAGGGAGATAGCAGCCTGATCACATCACTGCTGGACTGTGACATGTGCTTCTGGTCACTGCTCATTAATTAAGATACTGACATTGCCCAGAAAGAGGACCGGGAGCAGGACATCATAGTGTGTGAAGAAAAGATGACCACTCTGTTTAGGAAAAAATCTGTTGTTAGAGGGAACTTCATTTCTGTCTGTGTTTAAGATGGGTAAACTTGAGGCTTTTCTGTTTTTATTTCAAATTTGTTTGTTTTTGTTTTTTTATCAAGAAGCTCTTTGGTAGACAGGTGAAGCCTAGGTATAGCTTCAGTTGATTTTTTGTTTGAGTGTTTGTTTTTTAGCAGAAGTATAGTTTGTGATTCAACCAACAATTATGAAGGGACACAAAAGGGATTCAAATTGGACGTTGTCTTTTTACTTGAAGTGATCTTTTTTATTTCCCAAAATATTAATGTGTCATTATTCAAAAAAACTATACAAGTGAAATATATTGTTAATATTATTTCCTCCAAAACTTACTGTCCTTCAGAAAAAAATAAAGTCCTACCAGGCAGCTGAGGTAACAATCTTAATCTCAATAGGGTTTGGTCTAACAATGGTGGTGAGCCTATGGCACGCATGCCACAGTGGGCTGTTTGTAGCATTAAAAGCTCTAAAAGATTCACCATCCCTGGTCTATAATGTTTATTCAGAGACAGGCTTTAAGTAGACATAGCAGTGTTTAGCTTGATGAATCACCTCACTGGCCACATGTTCCAAGATTCACTTTTTAAAATTGTTGTTAGTTGATTAAAATAGAGTCAGGGTATGGTGGCATGCACACTCTAGGAAACTGAGGCAGGAGGACTGCAAGTTCGAACTCAGCCCACGCAACCTAACAACTTAGAGAGACACTATCTCAAAAAAAAAATTAATGGGGGGTAGGGGAGGGGTGGTTTCTGGGGATGTAGTTCAGTGCAAAAGCCCTGCTTTCAATCCCAAGCTCTGCCTCCCCCAAATAGATAATAGGTGAATATAGACAACTTCCAAAGGCATGAGAGGACATACTGTCTCTAAGTCATTCCTGTGGCCCTCATTCTTCAAAGGCACTTACCAGTATGAATTTCACAGCAATATTCATGCCACGTACATGTATGAGTGTATATTTATGTAAGTTTCTGTATATGAATGTTTTCATATAAACACAAGTAGTAATGCATGTTCCACCGTCCTGGAAACTTGGTTTGTCTCAAAGACAGTTTCTAGCGGCAGCCGCAGCAGCAGAAGGAGGAGCCACCATCGCCCCCTGCTGGGGACAGGGGCATGGACTCTGCTCTCTGAAGCTCCAGTCCCCATGTTTTGCACTGTGGCTCTGGGAGTAGGCACAGAGCCCTGCCTCATCATCATCCAAGTGGTTCTCATCTTCCTACAGAAGAAGGGCTGGGAGAATCCGAAAGGAGTAAGCCAGTACCGTGGTGCACAGTCTGAGTCACCCTCTGTCACTCACTGAAGGATGTCCAGGGAAGCAGCCTTTGTGATGACCTGTGGGTCATTCATTGCAAGAGAAAAGAGAAGAATGGCCTGGCAATCTGGGACCCATTTTTTGCCCACTGTGGGGCATGACTCCTCCCTGGATAGTCAGGATCTGAAATGAGGAGGCTGGAGGTGCGTCTTGGTATCTTTTAGCCCCATCGACATGGCTGCACTGTAGGGTTTGTGACTGTGTTGAGGTTGGTGAGAGATGGAGAGCAACATCTGTAGGTAGACAAGCGTCCTGAGACACCAGGGTTTGTTAAGGGATTCTGTCTCTCAGAGTCCGGTGACCTCTCCCCCACCACCCTGAGACTGTTCTTTTCTCATATGCAAGAGTTTGTTAATTTCCCCATTTATCCGTTGACTCACTTTATGAGATTCTGTAGATCTGTGCTGGACCAAGTACTGGCAGGCACTGGGGACTCAGAAGGAATCCATCCCCAGAGCTCTGCTCATGGCCCTGGGGTGGGGTGAGGGGAAAACAAGTCATGGGTGATGGGTGAACAGAATAGAAAGTGATGTGATGGGGAAGACGCAGGGTGCACAGAAGGCCACAGGCTACAATCCACCTTGGGGCAGCCATGGGAGGGTGGACAGAGGCTGTGAGCCTTCTCTGGGGAGTATGGAGGTAGAGGGCATCAGAGGAGGCCCAGGGGTGGGACAGAGCTGGCTGCCAGAAGGAATGACAGGTGGTCAGCTCGCCCAGACTCTCACATATGGAGGCATCCCCCACAAAGTGCAGGGCTGGGGCACATGGGTTCTTGTAGGCCAAGGAGGGTAGGGACTTGATCCTGGGCAGCAGGGAGCCATGGAGGCTTCATGAAGACAGATTTGGCCTGGGGACTGTGTGTTCTGGGTAAAAGACAACAGGTCTGCATGTTGTTTGCCCCTTGTGGGCCCCACAGCCCAGCAGGCCTCAGATGCTGGAGGGAGGACTGTTTGTGGGCCAAAAGGTCCCATTCCAAGCTGGACCCTCCTGGCTCAGCCTCACAGAGCATGCCTGAGCCAAGCCGATACCCGCAGGCTGCCTCTGTGGGCACCAGCATGGAATTTTCCTCCTGGAGTTTGACCCAGTTCCTTGCTGTTACTCAGTCATTCTGGGTGAGCTTGAGGAATTCCAGAAACAGACATTGCAGAGGAGTGCTAAGGTTACCGGGAGCCCGCCCACACTCTGCCTGCATGGCTCCAGGCTTTGACTCTGCCACTAATCCACCTTGGCAGATCCTGGTCCATTGACTCCTTTCCTGGGCCAAGTTGCATTCTGGGCTGCGGTGGTCACCTGGCATCTTGACTAACGACAGCAGCCTTCACAGGTTCCATCCCCACCAGTACCCAGAGTCCAAGGAAACAGGAAGCACAAAGGGCTGGTTTCTGCTTTCTTAAATTGACTAATTCTGTTCCTTAAACTTAGTGTTTTATATAGGGGTCAGAGTAGGTTGAAATTATACGCCTGGCTGTGCTTGGGTCATTTATACTTGGGTGAGGATTGGTCTTTAGATGGTTGTTTCTTCCCAGAGAACAATTAAAGAACATTTCCTCACACCCCAGGCTTCACTCAAGGCCCTATCTGTTCTCTCACTACCTGAGCCTACTGTAATTGCTCCAGAATGGGGCTTATCTCTTCTAAAAGTTTGCAACCTGCTCACTTTAGTCCAGCAGCACCAAGCAGGAAGATTCAGTGAGGAAAGGGAGATCACGGGAAGCATGATGGGATGGGAGGCAAAGACAGGGACAGCTATCAGCAAAGGCAGAGTTCAGCAGCTTCTCAGTGAGGCTCATTCCACCTCAGCACTCTCACCAGACAGACACTCAGATGATCCGATGATGGAGGTTGAGTCCTTCTCCCTATTAGGTGAAGACTGGCCATAATAAGGAGGATGGTGGTGGTGTCAGCTGTCACTGAGCACTCACTGTGTGCTGGCTGGGCACTGAGCCCGGGCTGCTTCGGAAGTGTTCCCTTTTATTCCCTCAAACAACCTCAGCAGCTCAATGCCACTATTAACCCCATTTTCCAGTTGGGAAAATTAAGTTCCAGAGTTCGCCGCTTGCCTGAGCAGCACAGGCTACTGTGTTGGGGAAACTGTACCCCAACTCTGTATCGGTAGTCTTTTTTTTTTCTTAAAGCGTTTTACTTTGAGACATGATAGAAAAATCAGAGGTACACATGGGAAAGAGACATGATCACAGAAGATCTTGGACATGATCAAGTGGAGATGATCTAACCACAAAACCTTAGTGCTTGTCAGCTATGCTGAAGCTGAGGCTCTGGGAGCATGACATGCTGCAGGGCTGAAAGGAGTAGATAACTAGTATTCCTCTCCTTCTTCCCCTAGTTCTGCTCCTGCACTTTGGGGATGTCACGTGATGCACCTGTCACAATAGCTGGACCTGGCTCGGTCTAATTAAGATTTGTAGATTCCTAGAAAGAGACAAAGAAAGGCACAAAGAGAGAAAGACGGGGGGGGGCAGGGAAAGAGAGACAGAAATGATTAAGAAAGTGTGTGTTTTCAGGGCTCAGCAATTTGCCCTTAATCTTCAGTGCATTAACAGAAGAGCCCAGGAGGAGGAATGCCATCAGATGTAACGTGGGCCAGGGCAAAGGCATGACTGGACCATCCCTTGTGGTCTTTGCTTGCACAGGTCTCTGGGGTTTTGATCAGGGCCTGGGGCCAGGGTGGGCAGTACCATCACAGAGGGTGTTTGGTGGCCCTGGAATGACTGGCTTCCTGGGCAAAGGTGTTTTTCAGAGGCATCACCGTGAATGCTGTGCGGGGCTTCCCTGCGAGCGCCGCCATGTTCCTTGGGTATGAGCTCTCACTGCAGGCACTCCGTGGGGACCACAGTGTGACGAGCCCATGAGCGCCAGGTCAGTGTACTTCCTTCCCAGCCATTTGTGAATTTGAAGCTCCTTTCTTCATTATGAAAACCATATCATCTCTGAAACGTCCCTCTGTCACTGTGGTGGGGCTGGGGCTGGAGTGCCCACCCTTCAAATGATCCTACCACAGTTCTGAAACACCCTGCAGTGACTAGTGGGGTGCTGAGTCCCCAGGACTGAAGTGGGCACAGAATGTACCTTGTACAGCCAGTACAGCTGCCCCCTCTCCCATCATCAGCTTCCACAGTCCTGAAGAAAAGTGTATTTATCTTCTCTGTACAAAGGCAGTCACTCAGGCATCGACTGGGGCGCCCATCTCCTTGGCTACATGGGACACCATCTGCCTACTGAGCTTCAGACCTGAGGCTGACAGCAGCCGACAGGCTCCCACAGCCCTAAAAGACCAGTGTCTGCCAGCATTCCTTGCTGCCTGCACCCCCTCCTTTTTCCTTTCTCATCAGAAAGATCCCTGCAGCCTGAGGGAGCCTTGAAAAGGGGAAATCTGAGTTCTAATGCCCTCAGTGGCTCCCCAGTGCCCGTTAGACACTGCCTATAATTGATACTACTTCCTTTTCCAGGCTCAGGATTCACCACAATCCTAAACATCCCATCCCCTCTCTCACTTCTGGGTCTGGGCCCCCAACCAACTCCCTCTTCTCTCCTTCCCTCCCCCTTGTCTTAGCTTCACCAACCCTCAGTCCTCCAGCCCAAAGTAGGGCAGTCTCTTCCTTCAGGACACCTGCCTGATGTATCACCTGGGATGAGGCATGCCTCTATAGACCCCGGCTCCACAGCTTCCTAGCTGTCTGCTGGCTCCCCTAGCTTCCAACCAGGTAAAGGTCCCAGCAGCACTACAGCTGGTCCCCACCCCTTGCTGCTGGGTACCTCACATGGAGCTGGCACACAAATGGCCGCTCAGCAATGATAGTGGACGGAGCTCAGTCACCCTCCAATACTTCCTCAGTGCCTCTTCTTCCTGCTATTGCTTTTGTTCCCTTGTTCTCTTTCTCTGGGCCCAAACCTTCTTTGCTTACCTGCCAAGCTCAAAAGACAAAGAGAGATGAGTCATCAAACTTTCTAGTCAGCCAAAAAGCCATTTTGTTTTAGCCTCAATGACTACAAACTCTTTCAAGGAGGATGTTCTTCTTCCAGAAGCCTAGAAAACCTGACTGTCGCCTTCCCTGGGGGCCAGGAGCTGGAAGGGGCCTTTATGGGGTACAGTGTCCTGATGGGAAGCAAGGCAGCACCTGATCCTGGAAGAAAGGAGAGAGTGCCATCAGTCAGGCTGACCACAATGAGCCCTGGAGCAGCCCTGGGAGCTGGCTTTAAATAAAATGCTTTCAGCTTTTTACTAAAGCACCAATATTCACAGCTTTTCTGGCTCTTTGCCCTTTTTCATAAAAGGAAAAGGGTAGTAACACATTCTGCATAATTAAACCTTGATGAAGGGTTCCTGGATTTGGGTCATGTACCAGGCAGGCCAGAGATGTTGTCTTGTTTGTTTTGTTCTTAAAGCTGTGCTCATACACCAGCCACTCCCCACTTTTAAAAATTTTATAATAAAATCAATGTTTTCATTTTAGACAAAACAGAAAGAACAAATTAAGATACCTGCAGTCATAGGAGTTTCTTACTATTCTTCCACGCATTTTTAATGTGTATCGCCCAAATCAGATTCTATTTTACACAGTGTATTGTCATCTGCTCTCCCCCATCTAATAGTTCAAGACCATTTTTCCATGTCATTAAACCTTCAGCTCCAAAATGGTTTTACTGCCAAGACCTCACAGATCCCAGAGTGGCTGGATGCTTGCCGGAGTTGTCATACCAGGTTACTTGTGGCCACCCTGATGACTGGCTACTTAAAGAAGGAGGAAGTTTCTCATGAGCCAAGTCATGATTGTTCTGGGTTTGGCTGTTCAGAAAACTAGAAGGTTTTCTTCTTGAAAGTGCTCTTTCTTGCATGGGGTTGGGCATCTGTCTTCCTTTGGAGTTGGACTGTTGTGGTGAGGGAGGAGGCTAGTGTCCCTCCGGTAGGTTAGGGAGAGTCACAGCAACTGCTCTGGGGCTCTGTTTTGAACAATCCTAGCCCCAAATATTCAACTTTCTGCTCTAACCAAAAACCAAGAATCTCAAGGTCTTTTTATTGTTGCTTCAGTACTTACTGTGGCCAGGCCTTGAACCCAGGACCTTTTCACTGAGCTATATCTTCAGCCCTTTTTTAAAAAAGATCTCATTATGTCAGTAAGGATCTCATTATGTCACTGCATTGCCTAGGCTGGGCTTGAATGTGTGATTCTCCTGCCTCAGCCTCTCAGAGTACTGGGGTCATAAGAGTGTGCCACCATGTCCTGCTTAAGGCCTTTAAAGAAGACCTGGAATTGAATTTACCAAGTGGCTCTAAGATTTCAGGCAGGTCATGCTCTGGGCAGCAGCGGTATGTACTCTTTGACAACGTGGAGACCAATGCCTACCTCATCATGGAGACCCAAGCAGAGTAAGATAATGCATATTAGGGGAGTAGGGAGTCCTCTGGTTCCTAGGAGGAAGTGGGACAGTCAATGTCTCAAGAGTCCCTGGGCACAGGTGACAGAAACGACATGAGAATTATTTCTACATGCCTTCAGGGGATAAAAGAGCCAGCGGCTCCAAGTCCCATGGAAGACAAACACTTCTTATTCACCCCTGTGTTATTTCTCTTCTAGCCCACATGTCCTAGTGACCCAAGGACAATATGAAGCCAAATAAATAATGTATGAGGTTGTTGTTTTGTGATAGGGTTAATTTTATCAGTTTACATGGAGAAAGCAGAGTTAGACAGTTCAAGGAAGAAGACCTTTGGTGGAAGAAATAGGGTCCCAGTCACTGGCCAGCAGCCAGCTATTAGGCTTTCCTGAGGCCCATGAGTCCCACTGTGCCATCCCTGCCTGCACACCAGGATTCTGGCCCTAGAAACTTCCTGGAATAATGCTCATCTGCTCTCTGCCCTGACATGCATGCTCCAGACCTCAGACCCTAGTTTCAATTTCAGAAAAATTTATATTTAAGAGAAGGAGACACATCCTTCTTGTAATACCTTTTTTGAACATTAACAATCATTCCCAGACCTCCCTCCTGGCCCTTCTTCAGCAGTGTGTTCACGGTGATACTTGGACCATCAGTGTTTCACAAAGACAGGTTCACAGCAGGCAGTTCAACCTCAGAGGCTACAGCTGATAACCTTGGGAGATGACCTTCTCATATTTCCTCCTTTTTTCCCAGGGTTGATATCACCTGAACAAGGCCTCATTCCACTGCAGGTCAATGATGGCAGCATCTTCAGAATGAGTAACAGTGAATTTACTGGAGTGAAAGAAGCACCTTGGCCATCCAGGCTCTGAACCAGGTGGGCCCTCAGGTAGCATGCTGGCCTTAGCACACCCTTCTTCACAGTTCAGGCACTCAGTCCTCACTTCCGGCTGGACTGTTGAGCTACTGCTTTGGAAGGAAGCAATGGACCATTGGCCAGGCAGCCACCATCTATTTTAGCTCTGGACCAGCACCACAAAAATACTGGAGCAAAATAGACACTGCCCCCATGGCTGCTGTAAACGCATTAGGAATTTATTCAGGAGCTGGAGTTAGCTCTAAGTTTCTAAATAAAAGCATTGTAAACCTCTTCCAGGTTGTTTCTGTGTCTGATGGCTCTGCCTAGCTTCCTAGAAGCATCAGCCACCTTCATTCCTATCTCTCTTGAGGCTCCTGGAGATGTTGCTGACCTAGAGAGAAATCTGCTTCACCCAGCCAAGCAAAGGAACTATGGATGACACCCTCGCTTCCTTTCTGCCATGTGCCTGAGGTTGGCAGGGGAAGGTACAGGGGTTGGAAAGGGCAACTAGGGAAAGACAACCTTGAAAGCACTCTCTCCATCCTGAAGAGTGGCATATGTTGATGGCATATGGTGATGTGCTTCAGTGCCATACGGTGGTGTGCTTCAGAGATGTTGGCCCTGAGCTCGGATGGCTGTGGGTGTTATCTGGGCCTGATTTTCACATGAAGAACTAAACAAAGCCAAATGCTTTGTCCACACAAAATATTTCTAGAGTTATTTCACTTCTCTGTATTTTATTTCCTATTGGAACTATGTGGGAGTGTGTATTCGTCATTTTTCTGTTATAGGGACAAAATACTGACATACACAACTTAAAGGAGAGAGTTTACTTTGGCTCACGGTTTCAGAGGTTTTAGTTCATAGTTGGCTTACTCCAGGACAGAAGCATCATGGTGCAAGGGTATGGTGGAGGAAAACATAGCATCCAGAGAAAGCGTGTTTTTACTTCTGGGTATGTTTGGGTGGATCATGAGGGTGTGAGTATATCTTAGGGACTATATCTCATCGTTGATCCCTTTCTTTCTGTCTCTTCCCCTGTTCTCTGCTTTCTGGAAACCATGAATCGAGCAACTTGACCAGGCAGTCATCTGAGAGTTCTTCCAGGAGGCACCAGCCACCCTCATTCTTATTTCTCTTGGGGCCCTGGAGATATCACTGGCCCAGAAAGAAACCTGCTCCACTAGAGTGGGCAGAGGATCTACGGATGGCAGCCTCATATCCTTCCCCCAGGTCAGTAGGGGACAGGATGGTGGTTGGAAAGGGCAGCCAGAGAAGACAGCCTGGAAGGCACTCTCTCCAGCAGTGGGATGCTCATTTATCCATTCAATCATCCATTCAATGCTGAGCGCCTGCTGTGTGGAGGTGCCATCTCAGGTGTTGGGAACAAAACAGGGGGCCCAGTAGAAACTCCATGCTGGTGCATTAGAAAGCCTCTGCTGGCAGGAAAGCTGGGTCTTTCTGTCCACTCCAGCATCACTGGGCCTGGGCAGGTGCCAAGGATGCCAAAGAACAGGTGCTCCTGGCACTTAGTTCACCTCCAGGTGGACCCAAAGTCTCTGCTGTAACACATCCTAAAATATCTTTCTTAGGTCTGCCTCGGTGAGGCCATGTCCTGGTGCTGGTTCTGGTTTCTCAGTTTGTTTGGAGGTAGTGCTGGCTTCATGAGGCTAACCAGGGCCTTGTATTGGACATTCCTGGTGAGGCTGAGGAACAACAACTTTTTTCAAGTGTCTAGGCCCTTCCTAGGTTTTCTTCATCATCTTGGTGGCCCCTGATGATAGGAGGAGGTAACAGAGTGAAGCATTGCTCACCTAGCATACAGATGAAGAAACTGAGGCTCCAATGGGCCTGAGCCCCTGATAAGCACTTGGACCACCAGTTTCCCCTGGTAACCACCCTGAAGGTGCTCTACCCTTGTGGTCCAGCTTAGGGGACAACACTAGCAGCAAAGGTACTGACCATTTCACAGAGGGAAAAAGAGAAAGTTGTTGGGACACAAATTTTGGAGTCTCAAACCACCACTGAAGGCCTTCTATGAATGATATCAGAGCTTCCTTTCCATATGTCCCCCACTGCTCTACCCCAGGTTCCCTGTATTTTAGCCGCTTCCTCCATTCTATCTAGTGCTAGGTACATAATGGGTATCCAAATGTTTGTTGAAGAAATAACTGAGTGATCCAATAGACCCTCTGGACCAAGTGCTGTCTGTCCTCCTCCCTTCAGGGCTCCCTGCTCTGTGTTTTTCTTGAGCCTGGACAACCCTATCCCATCTCCAGGGTTAGGGACGTCCCCATTCAAGGCCCATCTTAAGGCTTCCATAATTCTCCCTCTGCCTTCAACAGCTTCCTTGGCCTTTCCACCCATAAAGCTCCCGTAGTCCAATGTCTCAGTTTGTGTTACAGTCACCTCTGTGACCCACTCTTTCTCACTTGCCTGTCCCCACCTTGTAAAGCAGGCCTGAGTCTTCCTCCTGTCCAGGCTTTGGGCAACAGCAATCATGGACAAGTGTTTGAAATAAAGGAAACAAACTTTTTGGCAAACAAAGGAAGCATCATACTGTTTATTGAGAACTGTCTGGAATAATAGAAATTTAGAGACTTTCTACTTGCCCATCAACTGAGGGGTGGTTTAAAAGAAAGGAGATGCACCTGTCCTCTGGAAGAGTGTCACACAGCCACTGAAAAGAATGAGACAGATCTTGCACTTTGTTATGGAAATATTATGTCAGCAATAAGTACAAAAGTGGAATGGCACAATAAAATGCGTGTTATTCATTTTCTTTTAACAATATATCTTATATATGCACAATTATTTGGGCATTGAAAAGAATCTGGAAAATATATACCAAATTTTAGTGACTATTTCTGGGAGGTGGGCTTAGGGGAAGGCTTTCAATTTCTGTTTTGATGATTTCTTTGTGCACCACTGAACTACTTTAATTCTTTACAGTGAGTGTATATTTATTTTATGCTTTGCCATAAAAAGCACTTTTTTTTTTCCAGGGCAGGGGTTTCATGCTGGGCTATTGCTCTCTAGGGTCCCAGCTGGCTCAGCCGTGCTGCCCACCTTCAGCAAGGCTGTAACAGCTTTTGTCGCCCCTTTCCACCCCTCTGCTGAGTAGGTGATGCCTCCAACACACTTTGTGCATCCAGTTTCTGCCCAAAATGCAACAGAGCTGGAAACAAATGAAACTCAATTTTAGTGTAGAAACTTAACTCCAGCCTTGACAAATCTCATGCCAGAACAGGGAGGGATCATCCAGCATCGGCCCCCACTCCCCCTTACATTTCCATGGAGATGGTAATGCTGTGTGCAACACCTGGGGCCAATAGCTGGGTTGTTTTTTTACAGTCAATATATCAGGCACGGCCTTTCTCTCATTTCAATACCACCCCCAGAAAGTGTGCAGTCTGACTGTCCAGTTCTGTGCCAGTAACAATAGCAGGGACCTTGGTCTTGGGCAACTCGAGATTAGGCCATGATTTCTATGTGACTGGGAATGTCTTTAAACAGGTGATATTCTGTTTCCAAAAAAGAATAAAAACAGAACAGAATTTCAAGCCATGCACCAGTTTTGGTGTCAGTGTCCTGGAGCCAAAGTGCTTTAAGCTTGGCAGGGAGGACTCACTGAGCACAACAGCCTTGACTCTCAGCAGCACTGGTCAGCAGTGAGGTTTTCCACTTGGGATTTATTGAGGGCTGGCCACTGTGTCCCTCTTGCATGGTGACTGCTCTCACGCTGAAGGGTGTACTTCTTTTCCTACTTTTACTTGGCCCAAACTCTCTCTGCAGAACCTGTTTCTTTTCCTACTTCAATAAAACTTTTTACAAAATAAATTACTGAGGGCCCCAAAGATCTTTTGCTTATCTACCAATATTTACCAGAAATTAAAACAGTAATTTAAAAATATTTCTTCATTTAAAATATAATCATAAACTCATTACTTGTCAGCATAAGAAACATAATTTACAAAAATATTCCTTTGAAGCAAAAATAATAGTAAGGTTGGTCTTGTATTTCATTTTTGCTTCTCTGTCTAATGTCTGGTTTGCATGGAAGGCAGCTGGACTCCCTCCATCTGCTCCTGCTTTCAGTCTATGTGATGTCACTTGCCATGTAGTCTTTGGAAAACTTCAAGTACGCTCATGAGGAAACAAGAGGGAGAAAAACATGTGATATCTTAGATTTATATGAACATAGTTTTGACCTTGTGGGAGCCTTTGAGAACCACTCCCCTATGGGTTTGAGAATCGCCCAAAGGCTTGTGAGGTGTCCTTGGATGATATACTTCAGAATTGCCGCTTGGTGGCAGCAGAAATCAACTAAACCCTCCACAGGGGCCGAATCTGGTAGATGGTGACCTTGGCCTTGATGAGACCATTTGGACCCCTGACACTTTTCTTCCTGTTTTGTGGGTCACCATCTCCTTTGTTGTTTTCCATTTCCTTCTCTGTAGTGGACACAAACTCAAACTAAGTTGACCTGCACCTTAGGTTCCAGTCTCAGGTCAGCCATTGGCTACCTGCATGATCTCAGCTAGCTTTTGCCCTCCTGGCCTCAGTTTCATCTATGACAATGGCCACACTGGCTTCTTTTACCTACTACCCATGACTTCAGTAAGAGTCAAGTGGAAAAGAAGTTTCTTAAACTGTGAAATCCAAAACATAGGGCTTGGAGGAAGACAGGGAAGCCAGGGGGCACTGTAACATTTCTGGTTGGGTTTTTGCTGCTGCCTTCCTGCATCTGGATTTTTTTTTCTTTTTTCTCTTTCTTTTTTTCTTTTTTTCTTTCTTTCTTTCTTTCTTTCTCTTTCTTCCTCTCTCTCTCTCTTTCTTCCTTCCTTTTTTTTTTTTTTTTTGAGGTGGACACAGGATTCCTGTAGAGACATTCCCTGGGCCTGGTCTCTGCCTGTGAAACCCTGAGAACTACAAGGGACAAAGATAGAAGAGGAATTGTTGAGTTGAGATTTTATAATTTTTGTGGATGGATAAGTGGAAAGATAGATAGATGAATGGATGGCCTTGACCCACAGTCTCTGGGAACTGCTCCTCCCGAGCGGGACCTGGCCACCTGCCTAGAGCAGCAGATTTACAGTAGGAACAATGTACCCCTGACAACTTAGGTAACCTCTCTGGGCCTCAGTTCTCTCACCTATCCAGTGGGAATCATTATATTCAATAATTAAATAAATACATCATGGAATTGTTGTGAGGCTGCAACTAGATGGTCTACAAAGAATGCTTGGCAGAGTGCTAGCTGCACACTAACTACTTAATAAATGTTAGTT